GATGCACTGGAGAAGGAGAAACAAGTCCTGATGCCCGACTGCATGCAGGAGATTGCATATATATAATATATATATATAGCTGTAGCTTCGGGCTGGTTCATGCCCAACAAATTGAACAATGCGTTTATTTTGAGGCAGGGCCGCATCAAGATATTGGAATGCGCTGAGCAGGAGAAGGACAATCAAGAGCTGAGACTCGGTGTGGGTGTTCAACTTCTTGTTTCTATGCTGTTTTCGTTGGTTTTCAGTTTGTTTTGCGATTGGTGACTGACAGGGGTTCAAGCTTCCTCTTTAGTGATCGGGGCAATGGTGGGCTTACTTTCCTTGTTCTGAAGTGTTTGCATCTCGAGGTGCATCCTTGAAGAAAAGCAGCTGGAATTTTCCTTGGAGGAGGCCACATGGCGAATGGAAATCAGCAGCAGCCCAGCAGCATGAGTTTTAGATTGTCTTGGCAGCGTGGAACTTCCTTTCCCCTGATTCGGGTGTAGTTTTCGTGGCGCAAACTCAAGGCAGTCAAGAAGCGGCAAACCAGGAGGTGGGAAGCTATTGATGATAAATGACCACTCACGCTTTAGACATGTGGAAGACATTTCTCCCATCAAATCTGAGACGCGATGGAAGCTGGAAGGAAACACTATCGAAAAGGGATCCCATTGACGTCCAGAGTTCCACAAGAAGCCGTAAAGAGCCTAAAATTAGGTCGGAGGCCATTGCTATTAGGGGGGAGGCCGTAGAGGGGCCAAATTCGCACCGTGGCGCAGAGCAGGCAGTCGTTGCGAGGACATGGTACGTGGAGCTGCAGGCTGCACAGGAGGGTCAGTCGGTGAAAGAGTGGTCTCAGGGCCTCGGCAGTGGCCTCGGCTTAGGCCACAGTCATTCCACCGGACAAGAACTCACCTGAGCTGTGTGCATTTGATGTATCCTTCCAAACGTTTGAGAAGATAGCGCGACTTGCGGACTCGTGTCCAGCCACGGCCGTCTTGGCAGTGAACGTTTGAGAAGATATCCTTCAAAAAGGACAGTTGAAAAGTCAAAGGAAATATTTAAACAAAAAGAAAATGCAAAAAAACAAATGTACGGACTGAAGGACCAAGGCCCCTTTGAAGGAAATCTTGTTAGGGCGTCCCTTGCCTCTTTGTCCTCTTTCTAGCCACGTGTCCTGCAGGAGTCACTCCGCCTGTTGCACAGGAGGATCACCGACGCATCACAGACGAGGAGCACTGTGAATTAGAAGAAGTAGGCAGCATGCTTGACAGACGTAGCAGAGATTCTGCACTTGTCCAGAGCAGGGCAGAAGCTCTTCAGTCTGAGGATTGGGGTTGGCTGCCGTGGGCTTTGCCGAGTCTTGAGTAAAGATGAGGTGAACTAGAGACAGACAGAGAGACAGACAGACAGACAGACAGACAGAGACAGACAGAGACAGACAGAGACAGACAGAGACAGA